TAATCCTGACGCCGTTTACCTTGTCATAAAACTATAACGTTAATCCTGACGCCGTTTACCTTGTCATAAAACTATAACGTTAATCCTGACGCCGTTTACCTTGTCATAAAACTATAACGTTAATGCTGACGCCGTTTACCTTGTCATAAAACTATAACGTTAATCCTGACGCCGTTTACCTTGTCATAAAACTATAACGTCGTTAATCCTGACGCGGTTTACCTTGTCATAATACTATAACGTTAATGCTGACGCCGTTTACCTTGTCATACTTTTATAACGTTAATCCTGAGTCCGTTTACCTTGTCAAAACACTTGTCCATATTCCTCATCAACCTGCACATTTTGAAACCTTGTTTTGCAAGTTTGTCCGTCAGCAGTCGACATCTGTCACGAAAGTCATGATATCTTGTGTGCAAGCCCTTGAACAACGAAGTAATAAGGGAGTCAGTATGTTACTATCAAAACAGGGAAAGTTCACGATCAGAGAATCTAAATGGTCCAACTAATCATACAGTTTAGTAGCAAGCCGTCCCAGTTGGTCGTGTTGTAAGCAAAGATCGGGCAAAGCGGCTATAATTGAAGAGTCTGTTGTATATACGATATACGTGGTCAATAAAACACATCTCATCGTCGACATATCGGAATGTCAAATTGAAAGACTTTGTCTTAGCTGTGTTATCAGTCCTGGTAAACTCGTCAATAATTTCAGTTTTATATGAAAACAAAATCAAGTTGACCAGAATGAGGGAACAGTTTGTTCCCATAGGAATGTCAACATCCTGTTGAAACTGAACTCAATAGATATGTTCCAACCAGGGACTCAGTCATTCTCTCAATTTCATTCACAGTATATATTTCATTTTCGCCTTTGTTGTGTTTTTTACAAAGCATGCTCCAAAATGGTACACGACAGTATATATTATATTGCCTTTAGCATTTCCTTCAAAAGAAAGCCCCCATGATAAAGGAACGAAGGCGTTCCTTCAGTTCGGTTTGAGTTATGGTTGTGTTAAGAGTCAAACAGTAAAAAGTTTGACAGAGAAACCATTTTGAGGAGATGTTCAAGATTGATCGAAAACATTTTGAATTCTTCAAAATTCACGTTCCGTAAACTCCACTTCTTGCGTATACAGTTTGCAATACGACTAAAACCCTGATTTGATAGTATTACTATTGCCTGTTGCTCAATTCCTATGTATACTACCGGAAAAAGGAAACTGTGCATGCGGAGAATGGTTATAGAACATATATTACCAACTGTATATACATGCAAGTTCACACACATGACCGAGTATGACACATACACACTATCCGTGTGTCATTGACAGTTTTTCCGTGCAGTTTGCTCTCTATAGGCGTTGACCAGTTTGCACGTTTTTCTCGTCCAGCCATCCAAAAAATTCATTTTTCAACTGTTGGGTCACTCTGTTGAGACCAGTGAACAGTAAAAACAGCATTATAACGTTTTAATTTGTGATTAATGCTATGCCGAGGCTCAATGAAAATGACCGCCTCCGGATTATTTGTATGCTTCAAGCTGGTATGGGCCAAGCTGTTGTCTCTACACATTTTCATGTCCATCGAAACACAATCCGGGATTTGTGGAGACGACATCAACAATTTGGCCACGTCGGCGATCGACCTCGTGTGGGACGTCCACGTGTGACGTCACGTCAACAGGACAAACATATTTGGCTTGGCCATTTGAGAAATCGCTTCCAAACGGCAAGTTTGACTGCACGGACAATCCCTGGGTTGCTACCAATGAGCCCGACAACTGTACGGAACCGATTGCTTGAACGAATAATCCGTCCGCGACGTCCTGCAATCCGTCTAGTTCTTCTGCCACGTCATCGTGTAGCACGCCTGGTCTGGTACAGAAGGCATCTGCGATTTACTCGACGGGATTGGGCAGGCATTTTGTTTACGGACGAGTCGCGAGTCCACCTGGATAGTAGTGACGGCCGTTCCAGAGTGTATCGTTGCGTTGGAGAACGTTTCCGTGACGCGTGTGTGGTACAACGACGTTCTTTCGGTGGAAGCAGCGTTCTGATTTGGGGCAGCATCAGGGTCAACGGGAGAACGCCTCTTGTGGTTGTGAACAGGAATTTGAACGCGCTACGTAACCGTGACGAGATCCTCCGGACCCACGTTCCATTCTAGCAAGGGCAGCAACGTCATATTACGCTACAGCAGGACAACGCCAGGCCACACACAGCTTGTGTCGCTATGGACTTTCTGGCCCAGCGGAACGTTGACATGTTGTCCTGGCTTGCTGTATCCCCCGATCTGTCGCCCATTGAACACGTCTGGGATGAAATGAAGCGCAGATTACGGGCATTACCTAATCAACCGGTGACGTTGGCTGATTTGCCTGTAGCGTTGGTACAGATCTGGAATGCCATCCCACAAGCATTCTTGAACCGTCTGATAGGCTCCATGTGTCGACTTTACCAGGCTTGCATTCAGGCAAACGGTGGACATACGAGGTATTATCTTTGTGATCTCAGTATTGATCCCTGCTGTGTTTACGTCACGCCTGAGCGAAATTTGTTGATTCCATAACGTGGAAAATGGAATGCAGCTGTTAATAAATAACAAATGAATTTTCGCTGAATACCTTTTTGTTCTACGTCATACACATTTATTTTTATAACACGTTTTAGGCATGCACAGTTTCTTTTTTCCGCTAGTATATCTGAACAATAAATATTCTGAATAAAATAGCACTACGAACGGTAGAGAGAGGGTATGTCAGATAACACTATAAATAAATACAATGGCGTCACGGAAACAAAATATATTACCTTTATATCAGATTTAGATGGCAGTGATCTATGAATATCAGGATAAAAAAACAAATTACAAATACAATAAACCACCAGTTTTGAATAAATGATTTGCACGATGAGAGAAAAAGAATCATCGCAAACAGCGAATGTTGTCAAAAGAATTCTAAACTCGGGGTGAGATGTTTAAATGCGTAGAAAATCACAATTGTCACCACAGGTAAACTCGTGCTGAGATGTTTGAATGTGAAGAACATCACGATTGTCACCACAGGTTGAGATATTATATTCATCTGAATGTTCTAAAGTAATTTTGTGTTTGCAACAAATATTTTAAATACGTTATGTCCTGTGCTTGGTTTACGATGGACAATGTATGAAATATTGCATTAACTGGATTTGCTGATTTTGTAGGCGGCGCTTGCACTGTTTGGTGTGATTGGAGGACCGCTGCTAGGCGTGTTTACACTCGGCATGCTGGTTCCCTGGGCCAATCAGAAGGTACGGCGTGCGTGTATAACTGAGAGTAGGTTATGTGTCAGCAGTTTCCTATAATAAAGTGCGTGGTTTTGATGCACGTGGTCGATTTGATAGCATGTGTTTCATTTCCTTACAGGGAGCCATCACGGGAATGCTTACTAGTCTTACGTTTATGTTATGGATCAGTGTTGGTTACCAGATTAACAAACCCAAAGTTACCACTCTCTCGGTCACTGACGTCACAGGCTGTAACTGGAACCTTACCACTACTGCAGCAAGTATCCTAACTACAACGGTATCGGGCGTTACCGTGACAACCACAGAAGTTCCACCAACAGACACTTCCACGTGAGCTTTGTTTTCTGGTTGTTACATCGCAATGCCTCAAACCCTGACCAAAAATAGATAACGAACAAAGACGGATTGTTACTGGAATTAGGTTGTCTGTCCGGCTGCTGGAATATCGTCAGACTGTAGACACACTACTGTCGCACTACTCATTCCAATGTACGATGTGAATGGGTATATAGACTGGAGTTTCATAGAGATATGCCCCTTTATTTGAATACATCGTTCACACTACTTCTTCATGTGTATGTCCCAATATGAATTATACTTTGTGCACTTATATATACATTGGTGGGATGACAAAGTTTATTTGAATTACCTATCCAATTCATGGAGTTATAAACAAATTTAAAAAACGTTCTCGAAAACAATCCAACACTTTTTGGCACAGGTATGGATATTTTTCTCGCCTTTCTTTGCGACAGTTCTAGTTATGTTATGGAAGTCCTCTTTGACATCTACAAACAAGGCGTTACCCCCCACAAATGACCAATAAATTATGTATAGTTCGTAAAATGGGATGTTTTAATTCCTTATCAATCGCCACAATAACATTAGATATAGACGTACACCTTTTGTGTACTGTGAGATGTTAAAAGCGCTGATGCAATGCATTTTGGCATATGACAGTCAGACCTCTAATTAGCGTGACAGTAGTCACGTGATCTTCCAGTTCACCTTCAATAATACCACTATACGGAAAGGAATAAAATAAACTGTTGTTTTGGGTCCTGATTTCCTGGGTTTATATTTTGTAGAGACCTGCTGATGAGGCTATACTCTCTGTCCTATCTGTGGTATAGTGCCACAGCCATGCTGGTTACTGTTGGTATGGGTATCATCGTCAGCCTCATCACAGGTAAGTTGTCTCTATGTATCATCGTCAGCCTCATTACAGGTAAGTTGTCTCTTTGTGTCATCGTCAGCCTCATCACAGGTAAGTTGTCTCTATGTGTCATCGTCAGCCTCATCACAGGTAAGATGTCTCTATGTGTCATCGTCAGCCTCATCACAGGTAAGTTGTCTCTATGTGTCTTTCCTAATAACGAAGTAAACGGGTGCAGTAAGTGACCAACCTCCAACCTCATCTGATACTTGGTTGTCAGAAACTGTAAGGAGCAGACTAGCTCTCATGTGTAAGGAGGAGACTAGCTCTCATGTGTAAGGAGAAGACTAGCTCTCATGTGTAAGGAGCAGACTAGCTCTCATGTGTAGTAGCAGACTAGCTCTCATGTGTAAGGAGAAGACTAGCTATCATGTGTAAGGAGCAGACTGGCTCTCATTTGTAAGGAGAAGACTAGCTCTCATGTGTAAGGAGCAGACTAGCTCTCATTTGTAAGGAGAAGACTAGCTCTCATATGTAAGGAGAAGAGTAATACATATCAAACGTAGCCGGATCCAGTGCCACTATTGGCAAATCCTGTCGTAATATATAATGGTAACGGATCCAGTGACCTTATTTCCCAATCCTGTCGTTATATATTATGGTAACGGATCCAGTGTCAATATTGGCCAATCCTGTCGTTATATATTATGGTAACGGATCCAGTGTCAGTATTGACCAATCCTGTCGTTATATAGCTAGCTCTCATGTGTAAGGAGCAGACTTGCTCTCATGTGTAGTAGCAGACTAGCTCTCATGTGTAAGGAGCAGACTAGCCCTCATGTGTAAGGAGAAGACTAGCTCTCATTTGTAAGGAGAAGACTAGCTCTCGTGTGTAAGGAGCAGACTAGCTCTCATGTGTAAGGAGCAGACTAGCCCTCATGTGTAAGGAGAAGACTAGCTCTCATTTGTAAGGAGAAGACTAGCTCTGATGTGTAAGGAGCAGACTAGCTCTCATGTGTAAGGAGTAGACTAGCTTACATTTGTAAGGAGAAGACAAGCTCTCATGTGTAAGGAGCAGACTAGCTCCCATGTGTAAGGAGAAGACTAGCTCTCAGGTGTAAGGAGAAGACTAGCTCTCATGTGTAAGGAGGAGACTAGCTCTCATGTGCAAGGAGAAGACTAGCTCTCATGTGTAAGGAGAAGACTAGCTCTCATATGTAAGGAGAAGAGTAATACATATCAAACGTAGCTGGATCCAGTGCCACTATTGGCCAATCCTGTCGTAATATATAATGGTAACGGATCCAGTGCCCTTATTTCCCAATCCTGTCGTTATATATTATGGTAACGGATCCAGTGCCCTTATTGGCCAATCCTGCCGTTATATATAATGGTAACGGATCCAGTGCCCTTATTTCCCAATTCTGTCGTTATATATTATGGTAACGGATCCAGTGCCTATATTGGCCAATCCTGTCGATATATATAATGGTAACGGATCTAGTGCCAATATTGGCCAATCCTGTCGTTATATATTATGGTAACGGATCCAGTGCCCTTATTGACCAATCCTGTCGTTATATAGTGTGGTAACGGATCCAGCGCCCTTATTGGCCAATCCTGTCGTTATATATAATGGTAACGGATCCAGTGCCAATATTGGCCAATCCTGTCGTTCTATATAATGGTAACGGATCCACTGCCAATTTTGACCAATCCTGTCGTTATATATAATGGTAACGGATCCAGTGCCTATATTGGCCAATCCTGTCGTTCTATATAATGGTAACGGATCTAGTGCCAATATTGACCAATCCTGTCGTTATATAGTGTGGTAACGGATTCAGTGCCCTTATTGGCCAATCCTGTCGTTCTATATAATGGTAACGGATCTAGTGCCAATCTTGACCAATCCTGTCGTTATATAGTGTATTAACGGATCCAGTGCCAATATTGACCAATCCTGTCGTTATATATAATGGTACAAAAATGTAACGGATCCAGTGCCTATATTGGCCAATCCTGTCGTTATATATTATGGTAACGGATCCAGTGCCGATATTGACCAATCCTGTCGTTATATAGTGTAGTAACGGATCCATTCCAAAATTGACCAATCCTGTCGTTATATAGTGTGGTAACGGATCCAGTGTCAATATTGACCAATCCTGTCGTTATATAGTGTAGTAACGGATCCAGTGCCAATATTGACCAATCCTGTCGTTATCTAGTGTGGTAACGGATCCAATGCCAATATTGACCAATCCTGTCGTTATATAGTGTAGTAACGGATCCAGTGACAATATTGGCCAATCCTGTCGTTATATAGTGTGGTAACGGATACAGTGCCAATATTGACCAATCCTGTCGTTATATAGTTTAGTAACGGATCCATTCCAAAATTGACCAATCCTGTCGTTATATAGTGTGGGAACGGATCCAGTGCCAATATTGACCAATCCTGTCGTTATCTAGTGTGGTAACGGATCCAATGCCAATATTGACCAATCCTGTCGTTATATAGTGTGGGAACGGATCCAGTGCCAATATTGACCAATCCTGTCGTTATATAGTGAGGTAACGGATCCAGTGTCAATATTGACCAATCCTGGCGTTATATAGTGTAGTAACGGATCCATTGTCAATATTGACCCATCCGGTCGTTGTATAGTGTACTAACGGATCCAGTGCCAATATTGACCAATCCTGTCGTTATATAGGGTGGTAACGGATCCAGTGTCAATATTGACCAATCCTGGCGTTATATAGTGTAGTAACGGATCCATTCCAAAATTGCCCAATCCTGTCGTTATATAGTGTGGTAACGGATCAAGTGCCAATATTGGTCAATCCTGTCGGTATATAGTGTGGTAACGGATCCAGTGCCAATATTAACCAATCCTGTCGTTATATAGTGTGGTAACGGATCAAGTGCCAATATTGGTCAATCCTGTCGGTATATAGTGTGGTAACGGATCCAGTGCCAATATTGACCAATCCTGTCGTTATCTAGTGTGGTAACGGATCCAATGCCAATATTGACCAATCCTGTCGTTATATAGTGTAGTAACGGATCCAGTGCCAATATTGCCCAATCCTGTCGTTATATAGTGTGGTAACGGATCCAATGCCAATATTGACCAATCCTGTCGTTATATAGTTCGGTAACGGATCCAGTGTCAATATTGACCAATCCTGTGGCTTTATAGTGTAGTAACGGATCCATTGTCAATATTGACCCATCCGGTCGTTGTATAGTGTACTAACGGATCCAGTGCCAATATTGACCAATCCTGTCGTTATATAGTGTAGTAACGGAGCCATTCCAAAATTGACCAATCCTGTCGTTATATAGTGTGGGAACGGATCCAGTGCCAATATTGACCAATCCTGTCGTTATCTAGTGTGGTAACGGATCCAATGCCAATATTGACCAATCCTGACGTTATATAGTGTGGTAACGGATCCAGTGCCAATATTAACCAATCCTGTCGTTATATAGTGTGGTAACGGATCCAGTGCCATTATTGCCCACTCCTGTCGTTATATAGTGTGGTAACGGATCCAGGGCCAATATTGGCCAATCCTGTCGTTATATAGTGTAGTAACGGATCCATGGTCAATATTGACCAATCCTGTCGTTATATAGTGTGGGAACGGATCCAGTGCCAATATTGGCCAATCCTGTCGTTATATAGTGCGGTAACGGATCGAGCAGCTGAGTAATATTTGGAGGTATCTTCTGTTGTCTAGGTCGGACCGATCCTAAGTCACTCGATCCCAGACTCATTTGTCCTATATTTGATGTTTTTCTGCCATTCCTCCCCGAGAGATGGAGAAGACGACTCTGGTTCGGTGTCCGCCATGATGAGGTAGATAATGCATATTTTCTCGTGTTTTTAGAGTACCTTCACCGCCAAAATATCGATATTCACTTTGTTCAACATCATAAAGGCAATTAAAATAAATAGCTGATTTCATGCTATTTCAATTATTCTGCAAAGAAGCAATGTGTTGACTTGTACATTTATTCTTGTATTTCGTTCCAATATTTTTCATACAAAATTGGTGTTACCAAGTGCATGCGTTTGAGAGTTCCAATATTTCTTTATTGTTATAGGTAAAGGATGATAAACCTGTCAACGATATAGAACTAGCAGTGAACGGAAACAGGACTAAACACGGTAAATCGGGGATGTACCAGAAAGACACCGGAATCACCAACCAGGCATACAGCACTTCTGACGACGATAAAAAAGCTCGACCTCCTTTTACACATCTATGATCGCCCTACAAAATTAACTAATACCCTTATGATATACCTATATAATATCTAAATACAGGAAGAGTTCGATTGAAACACTCATAAAGAGTCAGAAATCCAGATACCTATAGTTAACTGTGTAACATTTTATTTTCGTATACTTTTTCCATTTCTCGTTTTGTTTATGTTTATGATAATCAGAGATATTTTGTAATTTACTTTATTGCATGCATATCATTTAACAGTAGTTCAATATGAAAACATCGGTTACTAATTTTAAATAGTATGTTTACATTGTTTTCAAGTAGTATGTAGTGTGTTAACAATGTTTATTACTTTTATATTTTGTGTAAACTTTGTTCACCAGGAGTAAACATTGTAAATATTCTGTAAACATTGTTTACCCGGAGTTAATATTCTGTAAACATTGTTTACCCGGAGTTAATATTCTGTAAACTTTGTTTACCAGGAGTTAATATTCTGTTTACAAATTTTCACCAGGAGTAAATATTCTGTAAACTTTGTTTACCCGGAGTTAATATTCTGTAAACTTTGTTTACCCGGAGTTAATATTCTGTAAACTTTGTTCACCAGGAGTTGATATTCTGTAAACTTTGTTTACCCGGAGTTAATATTCTGTAAACTTTGTTCACC